AACGGAGCACCATTGTTGCACCTGTTTACATACCACGCCTGGTACAATCGCCGTTAGTCTCTCGGTGCGACAAATTTTATGCTCGGTTTTCACGCTTCAGAATAAAAATGACACTATTAAAGCACACGAGCAGACGCACATGACATTCACGGAGATAGAGTACCTACAACCCCTACTCCAGCCCCTAATAGGAGGTATTTGCTTGAGATGACTATCAGATATGAACGACTGAAGAATACATTTGTCGTTACGTGAAGCGCACGTTAATGCTCAATGAATTAACAAAGGAGTCAGAGAAGATATTTAAAGGTACATCAAGGGTTTATGAATAGTACTTGAGCAAGTACATGTTTGACAAATAGTTTTGTTGCACTTGCATACTCTGAGATTCTGAACAATGGAAATCTGCAAATATCAGTACAATACTAGAGTACATATTTATCCACTAGTTTGCAGATGTTCCATGTACTACTTTATAATTATGAATATTCTATAAACAAATGACGGGGAATGTGACATTCATGTCTAAAATTTTCCTAATATAACTTATTTTTGCAGGTCTTTACACAGGGTAAATGCTTGTACATAATTGTGACAGATATTTCCAAGAAACTGGATGACCAAGTTACTGACCAAGAAGGGCAAATGAAGATTAATCATGAACTGAAAACAGTGAAAGGTGAGTAGTTTAATAACTATGCCAGTATTGGTTATTGCTCATCATTCTACATGGTTTTGGCCTGGCTCAATTATCAAGGTTGTTACTTAATGTTACTTATTTGCCTATGAATTTGTTTTGTTAATTTGATAACCCTCAACCAATTAGCCATCAGTATTGTTCAAAAAAGCACAAAAGATAAAATTGTATATGTGACTAACCATATTTGAATGTTGACAGAGTCGATTTCAAACCTTACAATGATTCATTTTGTTTTTGTGTTTGTTTTTTTGAAGTACTGTTCTCTAGTCTCTGATATACTTTTACTGATATTTGTGGTCAAAAGACTGACAAGATGATTAGTATGTGAATGTAATCTTTACACTCAAAAGATAAATGAGGTTTGTGTGGGATCAAAATGAATGTGCCGGCTCATTTCCTGAAATAAGCATTGTGCACCCCCAAGTTGCGCCATCATTCTGCGCCATATTTTTCGCCCTTCACTTGTGCCCATTTCGGTGCCATCCAGCAACTTTAAAAATGTTTCATTTCTTGATCCATTACTTTTTACAGTTGTATTTCTATCAGAATTGCTCACTAGATTGGCTATCATTCTGCACCATCAAAGAACAATGCAATATAGTTTTATAGAACACAATCTAGTTCAACATAGTTGAAAAATGTTTCACTTCATTGCTCTCGTCACGCCAGGACCACTTCTTTTGTATTTCATCATGCCATTTCATGAAGTTCTAATGCAAATACCATCCGATTCCGCAGTTGCACATTATTGCACTGTTCAAATCCATTTTATTCAAATGATAATAAATGCTCAGCAAAAATAAAAACACAGTCGATACAAAAACAGATGTGCACACAACTGGAATTTGCATTACTTCATACCTATTAGTATTTCATTTTTATTAGCTCACAATAGTTTTCATGATAATAAATGTTATTGAGCAGCAATTGCTTTGAATGTCATTGACGTTAATTTGCTACAATAATGTTTGTTTTGAAACATTCCTGATGCACCCAGACTTCAAGTCACTTAATTGACTAACCACATACATGTATGTTCACTGCAGTTAACCTAGCGAGTCTTATTTGCATTGAAAATTATGTTTTTCTGTCACTGGTAATGAAATCATACTACTTTCAAAAACGTTAGCGTTTGTTAGTTGGGCAAATAAATGTTCAAAATTTGTTATTTCGAAATTTTCTAAAATCACCCGGGACCGGTTGTCGACTTGTTTTGGGTCAGCATATATGTTTTGTTCGTTTTCGAGAAAATAAAACATCTGTTGTTCAAATTTT